TGGCGTGATACTAGCCATGTGACCTCGCTGAAGCAACAACACCAATATCCCTTTCTTCCATAAAACTGTTAAGGTTATTCCCATCAAATTTACACTTATAATTTAAGTTATGATATCCCACATGCATTACCTTGAATTTTTTTATATTTATTCACCCAATTCACCAAATAATCCAAATCATTCTGTAAGGCAGAAGCATCCTTCTCACAACCAACAACACCAAAGACCTTAGTATCTTCAGCAAATTTAAATAATCTTTTGACCATTCCTTTATCCATGTCACTAATGTAAATGAAAAAGAGCAAAGGTCCTAATACTGAGCCCTGAGGTACCCCATTTGTGGCATTAATCCAGTTTGACTGAACTCCATTTATAACAACCCCCTCCAATGTTATCCCACACTAGGGATAGTTATTTAACAAGTTTTATGTAGAAACTTTTCAAATGCTTTCTAAAAATCCAGGTACACCAAATTCATAGCTATACTCTTATCTCCATAAGCTGTAACCTTTTCAAAGAATGTTAAAAGGTCAGTAAGGCAAAACTTTCCCATATTGACTATCCAACAAAATTGTTAACTTTATTGATGACTTTGCAAAGTATCTTTTATCAAACTTTTACCACCACTCATATAGGACTGATAGGCCTACAATTAGTGGGAAATTTTGATCAATATTTCAAACCAGCAGAAATATACATCAGGTAGTGTAAGTGACAACTTATTTACAATTTTCATTAGCATGGGTTAGAAATGACATGTTACACAACTCACTGAACTTTGCAAATAATGGATTTTTTTTCTGTGAAGTTTCAGGTTTTCAGAGCAAAGGTTCTAGTCTCCAAAGATGCAAGGCGTACTAAAGACCAGTACAAATCACAGGCACTATTACACATTACATTGACAGTATAAATAGCACGTTAAGAAGGATAATTTGTAGCTAGAATGTTACTTTATCTATAAAATATAAACTCTTACTCATGCTTCTTCATTTCGATGTAATTACTCGGTATAAGTCCTTCAGCTCCATCAAGTTCTGCTCGATACCAGTTCATGTCATTTTCAACATTCAAAACCTAAGACAAACAGAATGTAAGTAACGAATACATATACAGGTATGATGGTTCCGTTTCCATATTTTTTAACATTTCAAAACCTAAAACAAACAGAATGTAAGTAACAAATACATATACAGGTATGATGGTTCCATTTCCACATTCTTTAACATTTTAAAACCTAAAACAAACAGAATGTAAGTAACAAATACATATACAGGTATGATGGTTCCATTTCCATATTTTTTAACATTTCAAAACCTAAGACAAACAGAA